CAATGTTGAACGTTGAGTTATGTCCTATCAGCAGGTTAAAATGTGTTTATAGGTGTTCCCTGACTGATTGCATTTTCACATACAGTAGAACCCCTTTTTGTAAACTACAAACACAGAAACAGATCGTGGAATGCAATGAGTAGCTTTTTCTTTTGTCTTTTAGAAGGGGGTAGGCTGCATGTGTAAAAAAAAAACTAAAAAAAATTAGCAGAATGGAAAACCACTTTTCGGTAACATCTTGGCGACTCACGACCAAATGCTGATGTAAAAAATGATATGGTTAGGATGGTTGCATTATTTCTTCAAATTATTCTATTTTAATTAGACAAAAATCGCTGCCTATAGGTGAATATGACTGTTTTAGAAAGCTCTTTGATTTCCATCAGTCTGGATAAATAGTTTAATTCTGACCAATTTTTCAAGACGTTTAATTCCTGTAGTTTAATTTCACATTGCACAATTATTCCAGCAGAATGACTAAATTCCAACAGGAAGTACAGCAGGCTGCACAGGAAGTGCTACAGCCAACTTCTTCTGCTATTTGTGCTTGAAAACAACAAACTAATTACACATAAGTAATTGTTGATGAAGTTGTAAGCATTTATAAACGGCATTTACGTGACCTGCTATGAAATATTTAAGGTTGGAGTTGTTTTAAGACGTCACTAATCCCACGTTCCTCTTGGCCTCGCTCGTACCGGCCGTTAGCTTATCAATCCAGTCAGAATTAAACAACTTTGTTTAAACTAACTCATTTGTGTAGATTTGATATATCTTTTTAATACAACCCCAACTACTGATATGGAAAGCAATATTGAAATTTAAAAGGATAAACTAGGAAGGAAGGAAGACACGACGGAACAATTTCAATATGAAACGATGAAGTTCTTTAAGAAAGTCTTTTGAAAACACAGACCCATAATTAACCTGCCTGAGTTGCTGCAAACTCTTTTGTTCTGCCGCTTCTAGATTGTGACTACATTCATCTTTCTCTGAACATCTCTGAAGCTGTAAATTTGAATTGTGAAGGTTAATGGCAGGGACACAACGCAAGGTAGGGCTCCGGAAATACTCAAAAATGTCTATTCGGCGATAAATTATAACAAGTATTACATTACTGCTTTGTCATTCAGCACGTTTTATTTTTTATTTTTTTACCAGGCTGCTTTTTATATTATAGGGGAAGCACTTCCACATCTGTGAAAATGAGTCAAAGATTATCTTATTTCAACACCAGCCGTTACATCCCCTGAAATTATACATCCTTTAGGCAAATGACTGTGTGAAGGAGATATTGAAGCTGTCAGGGTTCTGTGCAGCACTGCGAACGCTTGCGACCCAAATGCAGGCTCACAAACTGAGGTAGAAGGTCTAGAACAGAGCTACTCAACTAAATTGCTCAGTGGGCCACAGTTACTGAATGCTAACAGCTCAGGGGCTGGGCATCCAGCAGTTATTGTCATTAATTAAGTTTGTTTTATGATTTAAAATATAGTTTTATTTAAAATGAACCCATTGGTGGGCCGCACTGAGCTCACCCGTGAGCCTGATTTGGCACCTGGGCCTTCAGTTGAATAGTTCTGGTCTAGAAGCTATAAAATTATTTATTTGAATCCTTAAACGTTACTTCTTTCATAGATAATTTAGACATTTAATATGACATGGGAGAGCACAAGGTCAGTGCTGCAATTTTGTAATCCTGAGGCTGCAGGTTCAAGCCCAGGTTGTCTTAGGAAGGGGATCCGGCATAAAACTATTGTCAAAACTTTCATGAACTTTAACTTATTGCAGTGACCTTTGCAGAAAGGAGAGTCCAAATGAATGAGTGAATGAGGGAGGGAGGGAGGGAGGGAGGGAGGGAGGGAGAGAGGGAGGAAGGAAGGAACCCATAGACCATCATACATTGGTCATTAAACAATGACAGAGCACATTTATCACTATTTGATAACGACAAACCAAAAGTTTCTTCATAGAAAGTTTTGTCCTTTGCTCATGCTGACACATTTCTCACCACACAAATCTTCTCCATACCTCAGTGCACGAGAGAATCAGTGTTCTGTGCAAAAAGGTCACTCTTCATTTTTCATTGTCTTCTCTCTCCATCTTTTCCTCTTACGCTCCACCACTCTCTTAAAAGATACGTGATGTTACCAAGGCTCGGGATTTCACACTGATGCAAAAATTCAATAAACAAACCGCAGGTTGCTCAAGTGCTGAGCAACAAAGATGAAATAGTGTGTTTATTTGTCTGGAGGGAATTCACTGAATGGTTTTACATTATCTTGAAAGAGCTATGAGTGTTTTAACCTAAATGAAGGCTCAGTGCCTAGAAGAGATGTTTAGGGTTTGGGTCAATACTTGCTGAATGTACATATTTTCTTGTGCTGGATCTAGGTGAGTTTAATTTTTAAGTTAGTTTACTTAGATGAGGAAAAAAATTAAGCATTTTCAAACTATTAAAAACAAAAAAATTCACATATGAACAATTTGATTCCTCACTCCTCACTCACTACGTTAAACACAACAAAGCTAAGATATTATCAATCAATCAATCAATCAATCAATCAATCAATCAATCAATCAATCAATCAATCAATCAATCAATCAATCAATCAATCAATCAATCAATATACTTTATTGATATCAAAGGGAAATTTCATTTCAGTACATACCATCAAGAAAAGAAAACAACAGACACGGGGGAGACAGATGTCAGAGGCTGCAGCCTCAGAGAGCAGCACCACCTTTTTCATTAGACAAGGAAAGTGAAAAACATGAGGAAAGGAAGCAGGTTTTAAAAAAGTTTCTCACACTGTGTCTTGACACACAGGATACAGTGTAAGATAGCAAAAAACTAACTCAGCACAGAAAAAGCAACATACATGTAAATAGACATAATACATATGCGTGTGGAGTGGGTAGGGGGTGGGGGTCCCAGCACGGCCACCAGGTGAGCGACACAGCCCTTTGGTGCCTTCACATCTCCTGGGATGCTGCACCAGGGGAGGCAATGAGGGAGGCCAGCAAAGGCATGAGCTTAAGGGGAAGTCATAGCACAGCACAGTTCAGAGCTTCCCCCCGCCCCAGCCATAGTCCTGATAAGAGGTGTTTGTTTATCAGCCAGCTTGGTTGAGCTCTGACACAGGTGCACGTCCTTGTGGAGGGGAGCAGAGTGTCTTGTTTCCATAACACCCAAAGAGAAATTAAAGTAGCCTTCCAAGGCCAGATCCAGATTCAGATTTCAACATTGCTTTGGGTCGGGCTGAGCTCGTTAATTTCCACGTCTGCCTTTACAGTCCCACTAGTTAACCTCATGGTGACTCCAAACAGCTGAATTGGGATTACTTATGCCGAAGTTGGGCTTACAACTTCTCCAAGATCTATTCCTTCCAACCATCCACGAACAACCAGAAGTTCCACAGTCCTGCCTTCTCAGCTCTGATACAGGCCCACAGATGGTTCGCACAGAGTCTGAGTGTTGCCAAGCCCAGCATACACATTCTAGACAGCTTAAACAGCTGCTGACATTTCTAAATGTGTTGATAATCCAGATTTCCACCAACTCCAAAAAGCAGAATCCAGTTATCATAAATCCAATTATGTTTCCGTCGAGGTAAGAGGGCTCTCCTTCACCCTGTCTTCTTGTTAAAAAAAATTGATCAAGTGCATTGAGAGACCAGCTGAACAAATCCATAGTTTACAATTCGGAACTTATACAAAAAAGGGGCTCTGAAAAAGATTCACAAGACAAAGAGCAAAGCAGGGACGGAGCAGTGGAGGAAGCGTCTGCCTTCATTGAGAGCAAGCTATAAAAACTTTTTTTAGAAGATAACTATTTGTTTGACCTGCTTATTAAAGAATGCAGTGCTGAAGCACAATATTTTATGAACTAGTAAAGGTTTTAATCACCCACAGCTAATGTTAAATGAGGCAATGTTTTTCTCTGTGTCTGTGCATGTTCATGTGTGTTCATTGGTCTGAAAAACATTTGATGAGCCAATGGACAGATTTTACTGAAACACTCATAAAGTAATCATTGAATGTACATTCCAGACTGAGAACATTTTGAGGTCAACCCAATTCAATTCTCATACAACTAACTAAACGTTGGAAACACAGAAATGATTATTACTGTCACTATACAGGAGTTATTGTGTTGAGCTATATGGCAAGCCCTTTTAACATAAAATAGGACTCACCACGCTTACATTCCAGATATCTGAAACTGAGTTTTGACTAGACATATTGGTTATTTAAGATATCTTGAATTGCATTTTGACTAGTCAAAATACTCATTTAAGATATCTCTAATTACATTCTGACTAGTCATAATGACGTCAGATTTACCATTGAGTTGTATGGAGGCTTCAATTCAAGATATCTTGAACTGAATTTTGACTAGTCAAAAATACAGTTCTAGATATCTCTAAGTTAATTTTGACTAGTCATTATTTGCTTTCAAGATATCTCACTTTTAGTTCTGACTAGTCATAATTACAATTAAAGATATCTTAAATTACGTCATTATTCAAGATATCTTAAATGTATTTGTAGATATCACAAATGAAGTTTTGACTAGTGCAAATTAAATTGTAGATATCTTGAAAGCAAATAACGACTAGGCAAAACTAACTTAAAGATATCTAGAACTGTACTTATGACTATCAAAATTCCTTTTAAGATATCTCAAAATGAATTCAAGATATCTTGAATATTTTATCATGTAGACGGCTTTTCTATTTAAGATATCTTGAATTCACATTTTGACTAGTCAGAATGACATTCAAGATATCTTGAATTGTTATTCTGACTAGTCAAAACGTCACAGATTTACGTAGCATTTTGGCGGAAAAATCATAAAGCATTGTAGCCTTTTTATTTTATAATCTGCAAAGTCAGGTCAGTCCAACACAACGCTCGTATTTTTAACATGATTTTTAGCGCGGCAGCTCGGATTATTTATTGTATCTGAAACAAGAAGACTTTTTTGCGACGTCTTTTTCACGACAACCGGAAACCGACACTTCCTGCTTTGCGAGTTTTTGCACTAAGGAGAAATGTCTCTCTTTTCAACATCTTTGCTTAATTTGCCAATCTTTTCTTTCGCTGCTGAGGAGGAAATCGCAGCGGCGAATTCTCGAACTAATAAACGTGAAAGGATAAAAGTTCTTCCATGAAGAAAATCTCCACAGCTGTCAAGGTAAGAAAAGACCTAGCTTAGCAAGCTAACCGTTAGCTACAACATATGAAGCGCATAAACATCGTGATAAAGAAGCCTAATTTAGTGTGCTACATTATTTGGAGTGTTTGAGACAGACATGATATAAAATCTTTAATTATATTTTTATGAGGTTCCATTAGTGCCAAACATGTTTATGTGTGTATGTAGCGTGCTGTGTATATGTAAGGTGATGTGTTAAGTGAATCCATCTATTATACAATCTGTTACTTGTTTAAAGCTAAATATGTTATAACAAGTATTAATTTATATATGTGTGTGTGTGTGCTAAAAACAGATCTATTTTAGATCTCACTGGGTGTTGAAAAAAGAAATGTTGGCTTATTTCTGCAGAAGTGCAGCTGGTAAAGGTTTTTGTAACCATGTAGTTGCACTTTTTTTTTTACCAGACTGCCCACTACTCCCAACTCCAGCTGCCAACTGGTCCTCCTGTACTGGCCCGCACAAGAGATTTACAAAGAAGGCACAGACAAAGAACACAGGTAAAAAAATAAAATAAGAGTGGAACACATTCTTTTCTGTTACATTATTTAGTATATGATGGTTATGATTCTCATCACAATAAATGTAACAACTTTCCCACCTGTATATTATTAGTGCCATGTGAAATTTGTCATAGTCTCAATATTACTTGTGTCAAATATATTTTTCTCTCCTAACTTGTTTAGAATTGTTTGTTTTTGTAGGTAATGAATAAATGCAGGTTCAACCTCTATGACTTAGTAATATTTGCAAGTTAAGTAAAAATCTTAACTCTCAGATCTGTCTCATTGTGTCCTACCAAATTGCTCATTTGTCTCTTTACATTTATTTATTTTTTATTTTGACGTATTTTTATGTTTATTTCTTGTAAGGGAATCCATCCTGAACCTGCCAGCGAGGTGGTGGTGGTGTGAAAGCTCAAAACTGGTGAAAAGATGTTTGCACTCCACGCTTTACAGAGCTTTCACAGGTATAACCTTTGGGTTAATGTTTTTATGTCCATGTTTCCTTTGTCAAAACTTATTGTGATTCTGTCACTCGTGTGTTTGTAGGACCACTTCCAGATCCTGACATCCTGGCATCGGGAGAAAAACAGCACCAGCTGGCGTCTCAACCACTTATCACACTTATCCTAGAGATGGTCTCTCAGCTTTGGAGCTGGTACCATCCAGACTTGGGCCTGTGCCACAGGGCTCACTGAGGTCTCACCAGTGCCCACCTGAGAAGTCCTGTGTAGCATCATTCTGCACCACATGGCTCCAGACCTCCCTGCTCTTCCTTCGATGCTGCATAGTCTTCCCAACATGTGTTTTGTGTCCACACTTGATCAACTTATGCACCTTCAGTCTCTGCAAGTGTCACATGAAGTACAGGCCAGAACCAGGGAGCAGTCCAGATGTCCCGCGTGGGTACAGCTTAAACAACCAAGGCTTACTGCGAGCTGTTTCCACTTTCCGTGTTGCTTACAGAGGAAGTGCGGAGGAGGAGTCTGCTGACAGCACTGGCAGCTCAGATGATCAGGGGGTACACTAAACAATAACTGTTGAACGGGTATGGTGTGATGAATGGATTGATGATTGATTGATTGATTGATCAGATGAAGTCTAAACTGGACATGTTTTACTTCAACACCTTCATCCATGTGTTTATATCAATGCAGCAAGAAACATAAAATTTATAAATCACCCTTTTGTTCCTTCATATTTTTAATCAGTCTCAAGCTGTGAATCACTGTAAATACTATATCCTGATGCTGCTCAATGATCCAGGTAGGAAAATCTAAAAAAAAGTTAAGTCTGGTCCTCTGGACATTCAAAAAGCAAAACAACAAAACAAACACACACAAAATGTAGAAACGTTTCGTCTCTCATCCAAGAGACTTCCTCAGTCTGAGGTGCTGTTTTCAGCTCAGTCTCTTAAATAGCACCTTCTCAGAGTGGATCAACCAGTTTGCTGCTGACAACCATGTGTAAATGTGTGAACCATTTATTACTTCATTTTATGCTTATGTTTAATAAATGTTTTAATGTTAAATGGTTATTGTTGCACCGGGGTCTGAGAGAAATGTAATTTCAATCCTGTGTATGTCCTGTACATGTTGCAGTTTTTGACAATAAAAGTGACTTTGACTTTGAGCAGCACCTCAGACTGAAGAAGCCTTTCGGATGAAAGACGAAACGTTTCTACCTTCTTCTTTTTTTTTTTGTTTGTTTTGGTTTTTTGAATGTCCAGAGGACCAGACTTAACTTTTTAGATGTAAATACTGTAAATAGTTATTCATGAAAAATACATAAATGTGCCAATTTATTTAATTTGAAATTACATAATTTGATAAAATATCTATAATCCACTATCAATTTATAGTGTACGGTTATAAAATGTTAACTTAAATAGTTAAATGTTTTTTTGTTTTTACTAGATATTGTAAATTGCACTTGTTTTCCTTGTAATTCAACTGAATCAATCCACAAATAAAAAAAACAGTATAGTATGCTGCTCAAGTGTGTTTTAATTGAAGAATGTTTAAAATAATTCAAAACAAACTATCTACCGGTAACTACGTAACACTAGAACAATTTACATACATGTGACAAGCTTGGGTATGGATGTTATTTTTATTTTATAAACTTACTGCAACACCACCTTAGGACTTTCACCCAAGGACATCATTTATACACAGAAAAGACACTTGGGTTTGTTTACCAGTAAGCACTGTGGAACAGAACCTACACAAGACTCAACTGTCACCTTCAACCTGGAATATAAATATGAAATTAACAAAAATAAATATGAATAATACTTAAGAATTGCAAAACAAACAAACATGGGCCTCACATTCACATACAAAAATCCAAAAGCCAGCCAGTCTTCTCTCAGGTAAGACACTGCCTAATTATGGTGACTCAAGCAGGCTGTGAGAGCGCAGTAAAGCATGGTAGGACAGATACGGTGGTTTTCTTGCCCCACAAGAACAACCAGGAACTGAACAAAAACAACAGCGCAGAGACTGAGCCATTTTCCTCACTGTCTAACACTAGAGCCACAGGAAGTTGTGGCATTTTCTAACAATGTTGTCCAGAACAGCTAGCGCCATTGCAGCCACACAAAATTCTGCAGGCAGCTGTTTGAACAGCTAAGTAGCAGCCGCGGGTCCTACGCGTCATTTCTTAATTCAAGATATCTAAAAGTGTCATTCTGACTAGTCATAATTACATTCGAGATATCTTGAATTGTAATTACGGATGTTTGACCCTTCAAATGACAAATAAAGTGACGTCATTCAAGATATCTTGAATTACATTTTGACTAGTCAAAATGTAATTCAAGATATCTTGAATTGTTATTCTGACTAGTCAGAATGTAATTCAAGATATCTTAAATTAGCATTCTGACTAGTCAAAATGTAATTGTGCCTAGTCAAAACTCAATTTAAGATATCTAGAATGTAACTACAGATAGTCAGACTACTCGATTTTATGTTAAAAGGGCTTGCCATATGAGCTAAAATACTTCAAGCACTATTTGATCTAACAATAGTTGTTTTAAAAAAACTTGTCATTGAATTATTGTTTGATATACATCTGCTGGTTAACTTTTAAGTTCAATACAATTTAAAATGGACACCATGGGCAAATGACCTTTGGAAACACAAAAATGGCTACAATTCAACCGACATTATAGATATTGAGCCAAAATGTATCTAGCTAATATGTGTTCCCTTAGAATGCTATAGGCTTTTAATTAGAAGTTTTTATTTTTTAAATAAAACTGAATAGAAATTGTCTTAACTTTTGCTCCAATGGGCATATATTATGTGGAACACTGTTTGTTATTAGCGTATATCTTAGTTTATATCTTAGATCTTTATTTACTGTTCCTTTTTACATTTTCTATTTTTGCTATCGTTGGGTGTAACTGGGAATCTGTGTACACAATTTCGTTCCACCTCATGTACCACATGTGATGCGAATGACAATAAAGAGCCTTGACTTGACTTCATTGTCAGTCTGTAAATGAATAAATGCAAAACTTTAAAAAAGAGAAAGTGACTGCATAATACTTTGACTTTCTCTTTTGAAGTGTTTGATATGTGAAAGTAAGAGGACAAAGTTTCCTAAATGATCCCAACAATGTTTGTTCTTTGTGCCAGGGATAAAGGTGCATAATTAAAATCAAGTCTCAGAAAGGGATAGGTGAACCATTTTGAAGCAATTGTCTGTCAAATGTTAATCAGTAGTTAGTAACATATAGGCTGTGGGATTACCCACTGAGAAAAACCACGTAGAAAGAGAAAAATGTTATCTATTCTATAGAAATAAAAAAAAAAACAACTGGAGGGATATAATTTTTAATGTGAGGATTCAGAAATCACAGCATGGTGGCTCAGATGGTAGAACTGCTGCCTTTTGGCGAGAAGGTTGCTGGATCAAATTCCTGCCAGGGACCTTTCTGGGTGGAGTTTGCGTGCTCTCTCCGTGCATGCATGGATTTTCTCCCGGTACTCCGGTTTCCTCTCACAGACCAAAAACATGCATGTTAGGCTGATTGGTAACTCTAAATTGTCTCTAGGTGTGAGTGAGAGAGTGAATGGTTGTTTGTCTCGTTTGTGTCTATGTGTCCCTGTGATGGACTGGAGACCTGTCCAGGGTGTCCCCAGCCCCTCACACACTGACTGCTGTATATGGGCACCGGTGACCAGTGGTAAAAGATAACAGATGGATGGATGGATGGATGGATGGATGGATGGATGGATGGATGGATGGATGGATGGATGGATGGATGGATGGATGGATGGATGCATGGATGGATTCAGAAATCCAAAATGACTGTTAGCTGGAAAAAAGGTGCATATATTGTAGTCAATAAAGTACTCTTCTTTTAACGATAAGAGGGCTAAGTTTTATTAATACATTTATCAACATAGTTTTGCCATTTTTGTTGTTTTCATGTCTGGCTGAGGATATTTATTGGTTTCTATCTGATCAAATCTGAGCCACAGAACAACAAATCATCTAATGTCAGAATGTTTTATGGAGCACAAATCTCAGTGCTGCATTTTCAAGCGTTTTAATTAATTAAAAGCTCAAACTGGGTTCAAGAGCCCTACTGAATTAGATATGTGTAAGCTAATTTTTTTTAAATGACTTTAAAAGTAAATTAACGCTTCAGTAAGAGTTGAGGTTTGTGAACTTGGACTTTCTTGTCAGGAATCCTTCAGCCAGTCCTGTTCATTTCAATGTAAATAAACCCGAAAATGTGATTTATATTGTAGAGGACAAGAGAATACATAAGTTCTGTCCAGTTTGCATATCTTTGCAGACTTAAAAATGCAAAGCTTAGCAAACCAACGATTGCTGTTGCCATACTTTATAATTAGCTGTACACACAAGCTTTGAGTAAATAATGAAAAGAAAAAAAAACAAAGTTTGTCACTAGAAACAAAGAACATTCTTGCACATTTGCATTTGTAGAATAAAACAATATGACACAAAAGATGAAGACACAGACACGTGTCAGCAGATGAATGTTTATATATATATATATATATATATATATAATGTCAAATTAAGGATATTGTTGAATTGATATGACTTGAGAAAAAAATCCTGCTTGAACAAGACTCGTTTTTTCCAAGAGTTGCATAAATTTTTCTTTCATCCAGATACTTTTTTTAAACACACCACCAGTGGTACAGACAGTTTATTTAAGCTGCAAACAGGGTGAGGGCAGAGCTCTAAGGTTCTTCTAACCAGTCTACTTTTGGTTCACGGTGCAGAAAAATCTGGCAGCACCACAGCACTTTTGGCTTCCAACTCTTCCTTCTCTGAGTTTTTGTCTTTCAGTTTCTCTCATTCCTAACATTCTTTGGCTTCACTTCGTCTTTCCGGTGTGACTCTCTCTCCCCCCCTCTCTCTGTTCTAATGTCTCATTTGTT